TGTGAGGGGTCTTTTGGGGGCCATCCTGTGGCGCCTACGGGGCCTCTGGAGGTACAGCGGGGGCGCGCATCAAGAAACCGTGCGCGCTTCGTCAGGGTACCCTGGGTTTCTTCGCCCCGCGCGCTGCGCGGTAACTTCCCGCGGCCGTCGAAGCTGCTGCGTTCAGAGTGCTCCGGGTTTCCTCTGAGGTGCACCTCGCGCGCGGTTTTTCAGGGTTGGGTCTCTTGCGAGGGTTTCTCGCGGCCGCGCCCGCACTGTGTTCCTTAGCCATCTGCGTCGCCTGGCGGGCCGCACTGGAGCCATTTTGGCCCCGGCGGGGCCCATGCTGGGCCGTCGTGGGCCCTCTTGGGCGGTCTCGAGCCCGCCTCTGGACCTCTGTTGCGCTGTCTCGGTGCCCTCGGTGCCCTCCCGGAGCCGCCTGGAGCAGTCGTCGTGCGGGGCGTCCTGGAGGCCTCTCGGCCCGTCTCGGATCGCGGGCCACGGCCTCGGAGCCGCTTGTCGGGCCAAACAACCATGTGATTTTCCTCGGGGAGTGCGATTTCGGCTTGTGGGGCCCTTCGTGGGGGGTCTCCGGGAGGCGTCCCGGGGGCTTCGCGGGCTGTCTTGAAGCATCCACAGGGCGACTGGGTGCGACCCCCTGGGAGTCATCTTCGAAGCCGTCGGAGGCCGTTCATGAACATGTCTGAGGCTCACTGGGCCCCACCCACCACACCAGTTAGACGGGTCCCCCCAAGGAGGGAGGGAGCGGTTTGGCTTTGGGGGGCCGCAGTCCCACACGCCGTTCAGCCCCATGGGCTCCGCGGCAGGCTTGGGGGTAGCTCGATGTTAAACAAAGCGGCTCCGCCCCGCCTCGCCCATGCCGCAGCCGCAGGGCCGCAAGGTGTGCGGGTGCGCCCCGGGGCATCCCACCCCGCGTTTTCTCGGGTGGCTTGGCATCGCTCGGACGTGTGCATTTTTCTTTCGGCGAGGACCATCGAGGAGCATCCTTGATCATTTGGCGAAAAAACCACGCAGGACATCGAACAAAACACAAGGAATTGACGTCCGAGCGATGGCCAGGGGGAGATCGCGGGAGCCAGGATCCTCTCCTGCGGGATGCTTTCTGTCGCTCGTGCTGCACCGTGCCCCTTTTTGCCTTCGTGCATTGGCCACGTGATGCTGCGCCTTCTTCTCCCTCTTCTTCCCCTACCTCTTCTTCCCTCTTCTCCCCTCTTCTTCCCTCTTCTCCCTTCTTCTTCCCTCTTCTTCCCTCTTCTTCTCCCTCTTCTTCCTCCTTCTTCCTCTTCCTCCCTCTTCTTCCTCTTCTTCCCCTACCTCAGCCGGGACCTGGCCCGCCCTGATGTCGAGTCGCGGGCTGGAGGATGTCTCGAGCTTTTGCCCCCACGGGAACTCTGACAAGCAGGGCAGGCAAACCTGTCCGATTATTGTTGCTGCTATTGTCATTCTTAGCACCCGTATTATTATCAGTGTTATTATCATGCGTATCCGTATTCGTATTAGCATTGTCAGTCTTAATATTCTTCGTATTGGTTGCGTTGTGGTGTTAGCAGTCTGTTGTTAATTATCTTATACATATATATATATATATATCTACACAGTGAGAGGGCCGAACGGTTTTTCATTGTCCCTGGGTGCGTGGCTCTAGTGGAGATCCGTGGTGAGGGTTATGCTTGCTGCGTTGTTGGAGTTGTTGTTGTTGTTGGTGGTGGTGGTGGTGGTGTTGGTGGTGTTGTTGTGATTGTTGTGGTTGTTGTGTTTGTTGAACATTATTTATTCTAAAGAATAATTATTGTTGGGCCCCCTGGTGCGCGCCCCCCCTGCGCCGCCTAGGCCGCAGCTACATTTTCATCATTTTCGTGAGGAAGCCTCAGAAAAGAGGGTGTGTACAGGATCCGGTTGTTTTGTTGTAATCCGCTTTCCCTTGCAAAAAACAATAGAAAATGACATTTCTTGTTCTAATATAATCAAATTTCAAGAACCCCTTGCAAAAAATAAGGTAAAGTGGACATTCGCGCGCGCAAGACGAAATTCTTCCAAAACCTTAGTGTTCGCAACGATTTTAAGATAAAAACATCAAAAAACCAATGGTTTTTCTAAAAAAAAATGTCAAAATTCCATCCCGCGCGCTCTTGCGGATTCGTAGGAAACCCAACACTTTTTAATCATTTCTGTCAAACGGGCTTTTGCGAACAACTTTTTCGAACTTCCGCAACAACGGTTGCGCACCTGCCAGGGCCATCATCCCTGTCAAATAATACCATGCGGGACACATTCGTTTTTTCTTCGCGCGCGCACGCCGTCGTCGTCGGCCGCGGGGCCCTGAATAGTAGCCACGGTCGTCCGCATGCCACGAAGTGAAGTGTCCGAACGTCATAGGGCGGGAAGCTGGGTGTGGGTGGTGGCGAAGAGTCGTTTGGAAATTTGGTAGAGCTTGAACCGGCCCCCCCACAAAGTGGGGGTATTGCCTGCCTCCTATGAAAACCCTGGCACTGGTGAGAACGGTGTGTCCCCACGTGCTAGTAATTGTTGTTGTTGTTGTTGTTGTTGGTTTCGTTTGTTGTTGTTGTTGTTGTTGTTGCTGTTGTTGTTGTTGTTGTTGTTGGTGTTGTTGTTGTTGTTGGTGTTGGTGTTGGTGTTGATGTTGGTGTTGGTGTTGTTGTTGTTGTTGTTGTTGTTGTTGTTGTTGTTGTTGTTGTTGTTGTTGCTGTTGTTGTTGTTGTTGTTGTTGTTGTTGTTGTTGTTGTTGTTGTTGTTGTTTGTTGTCGTCGTGTCACTTGCGACCCACCCCGCGACCCACCCGCGACCCACCCCGCGACCCACCCCGCGATCCACCCCGTCACCCACCCTGCCACCCAGCCCGCGACCCACCCGCGACCCACCCGCGACCCACCCCGTGACCCGCCCGCGACCCACCCGCGACCCACCCGGCGACCCACCCTGCGACCCACCCCGCGACCCACCACCGCGACCCACCCCGAGATCCACCCCCGACCAACCCCTCGACCCCACCCACTCGACCCACCCGCGAACCCACCCTGGACCACACCCGTGACCCGCCCGCGCGACCCACCGCCGGCGACCCACCCGCGACCCACCCGCGACTGGCGGACCCACCCACCCCGCCCGCGACCCACCCCGCGACCAACGCCGCGACGCGACCGCCCGCGACCCACCCGCGACCCACCCACGACACGACCCACCCCGCGATCCACCCACAAGTTTTTAATCAGCACAGCGTCGCCTGCGGCGGGCTCAATGCATAATCCGTAGAAGTTCGGCGCCTACGGCGGGCTTCCTCCAGAGCCTGGCAGACTGAGGACGTCCTCGCAGCCCCCTCGCTCTTATCCGCAACTGCGGGGTGTTCTGAGGAGGAGGAGGAGGAGGAGGAGAAGGAGGAGGAGGAGGCGGTGATGCATGGAGCAAACGATCAGTGAAGATTTTTTGTGGTTTGGGTGGTTTGGGGGCGACCATATATGTATATGTATATATATATATATATATATATAGAGAGAGAGAGGGAGAGAGAGAGAGAGAGAGAGAGAACACGTCTTTGTTCTTCCTGGCCCCCCTCTCCCTCCGCATCCCTGGCCGCCGCAGGGCCCTGTGTCCTGGAACCGCTGGCAGCAGCTCCGCGCCGCGTCGGGCCTCGCGGCGCGGCGGTCGGAGACCGCCGCCGAGGTGGGGCGCTGGAGGACCCCCCCGCGGCACCGCGGCCGGCCCTCCCGCTCGCCCCCCCTCCTCCTCCTCCTCCTCCTTCCTCCTCCTCCTCCTCCTCCTCCTCCTCTCCTCCTCCTCCCTCCTCCCTCTCCCTCCTCCTCCTCCTCCTCCTCCTCCTCCTCCTCCTCCTCCTCCTCCTCCTTCTCCTCCTCTCCTCCTCCTCCTCCTCCTCCTCCTCCTCCTCCTCCTCCTCCTCCTCCTCCTCCTCCTCCTCCTCCTCCTCCTCCTCGCGCAGGGGCTTGTTTCGACTCCTCCGGTTCGGTGGCTTCCGACGTCGATGGCTTCCGGCTCCGACTCGATTCGACTCGGGATGCCGATTCGGGCTCCGATGTCCCAAATAGAGGCCTGCAGCAGTAGGCCTCCGCTAGGAAATGGTGCTGGCCTGCCGATGTCTGCCGATTCGACTTCTCCCGACCTGGCTGCCGATTTCCGCCGATGCGATTCATTTCGATCACCGATCCGACTTCTCGATTCGACGCTGGGCTCTCCTGCTCGCGCCCTCCTTCGATCGCACGTCTGTCCTGGCGCGGAAGCCAGGGGGGGCCCTCCATGACTGTCGGGGAACGAAAATGACATGAGTACAAAGACTCGGAGATCAGCGCGGATCCCACGAATCCGCCCAGACCTCCGAGTTTTTATGTCTCTGTCATTTCCTATTGCAGGCCTTGCAGTGGGAGTCGGAGTAGACGGGGTCGGAGGATGGGTATCGTCGATGCATGGGCGATGCGGCTCGATGCGGGGCCCGGTTTTCTCCACGACGGCGTCGCCGATGCGCCGCCGACGTGGGCTCTCTTGGGGTCATCTTGGTCGTCTTGGAGACCGTCCAGGCCGTCTTGGAGATATGTTTGCGGAATCTACGGGCTCTTTGGGTGGCTGGCGGGTTGGGCTGAGAACCCACTGAGAGTCATTTGGTAAAGAACTTGCACTTGTCAGAAATTCGGCACGCTGGGCAACCCTGTATTGAACTTCCTCGTGCTGCTCCTCCTCCTCCTCCTCCTCCTCCTCCTCCTCCTCCTTCTCATCATATTGCTGCCCGCGGCTTTTTGTGGCTCTCTTTCGGGCCGCACTTCCATTCTCAAGCTTCTCAGGTGTCCTGCCCAGGAATGCAGGACCTCGCCCACCATGCTGCGGACGTCCTGAGGTTCGGGGCGCAGGCACTGGGGGCCTCGCTGGTGGCCCGCGCTTCGGCTCCCAGCTGCGGGTCTTGCTCCCCGCATTTGGCGTGTCCCGCGCCGCCGACCCTCTCCTGCCCCTCCTGCGTGTGCGCGGGCGTGGGCGGGCAGGTGGTCGAGCCCTCGTGCGCGGGCATCGTGGCGGCGTACGCTGTGGCCGCCTGCACGGTCGGGCTCGCCGTCGGCGTTGGTGCAGGCGTCCTCGCGGCTCGTCGTACACTTGCTCCGCCGCTCGAGCCCACGGGTGGTGAGCTGCCCACGGAGGTGATCGACATCGACGCGCTCGCTGCCGAGCAGGTGAGGCTTGCTCGCCGCCGAGCCCCAGCACTTCAGTGATGGCGGGAGGCTTCCACGCTATTCGCTACCGCGTGGGAGGTGTGGCTTTGTGGCACGAGCGCTTAGTGCTCGGGGTCTCGGCGGGGTTCGCGTATGTCGTCACGCCCGACTTCGACGACTACGATGAGCCGATCGTGGTGGGGCCCGACGTGCGGGCCGTGCTGCCGCTGGCTGGACAGGGCGACACGCCTGCTGCGCTGGTCGGCGCCGCAGTGCATCGATTCAGACGCTTGCCGACGGCCGCGGAGCTGTGGGCTGCCGTGGGTCGCTCCGTGGCCGCGGGGTACCCGATGCCAGCGGACCCTCTTCTTCTGGCTCTCGCGGCGGGCAACGCTGCAGGCGCGCCTCCAGGGCCCTTCCCGCTGGCGGACCCAGCAGCAGCGGCCGCCGCCGCGCATGCTCCGCCTCTCGCCCTACCACCTGCGGATGGTCCTGCTGCTCCCGTCCCGCCGGGGGGCGCCCCTGGAGTCGCGGCGCTGGCCGCCGCTCTGGGACCCGTGCCGCCTGGCCCTGCCGCGGCGCCGCCGCTGGCGCCTGTGCCTGGAGCTGCGGCTGGTGGCGCTCTCGCGGTCGATGCTCTTCCCGTTCCTGCTGGCGACTTCAGGGTGCTGCCGATGGCGATCAACCAGCGGGGCGAGCGCGAGCGGAGGTTCGGCGAGACGGCGAACGGCCTCTCAGAGACCGAGGTGGTGGGCTGGCCCATCCAGGGCCCGCGTACTCTTCTCTGGTGCTTGTCCTTTATGTCAACCATGGCGGGGACGCCCACCGCGTGGCATCAGCGGTGGCTCACGGCCATGGCCCTGGCCGACGACGACGAGTACGCCAAGCTCCATGAGACCCTCTGTCGGGTCTTAGACCTCGCCGTGGTCTACGACCAACTGCAGGTGGCGGAGATGGCGCCCTTCGAGGTCGTCGCGCGTCAGCTTCAGCTGCTGGAGGAACGGGTGTACGAGTCTCGCTCGGCGCCCCCGACGGCTGCCGCGCCCAAGGCCAAGTCTGGAGCCAGGAGCGCCGCGACGGCCACCGCCGTCAGCATGGCCGAGACGAGCTACTTCTTGGGCGCGGGGGTCTCCAAGGCCAACTCGTGCATCTCTCCGAAGCTGCTCGAATACATCGCAGATCAGATGAAGGCGGAGGCCGCCATCGGCAAAGAACGACGCAAGGCGCGTGAGGAGCGTGACTTGCGGGCGCCATGATATTTGAGAAGTCCAGGCCTGGCTGCGGGGCGCGCCTCAGTGGCGCCAGCCAGGCGCATTGCCCCAGCGCTGCTCATCAAGTTCGGCAGCGTGACGTTTTTCCTCTCCGTCCTATCCCTGTGGAGCGACGATCTGGTATCGCGTCGATGGGTGGTTCAGCCCGCGGACGGGCCGCCAAGGGTGCTGCCTGGAGAGAGTGGTACAACGATGCCGTGTCCACCCTCAACGACATGTACCATTGCGACCCTGATGATATGGTTACTCCGCCTCCAGGTCTTCCTCCGCGCGCTCGTAGCGACGCTGAAGAGTACCTTGCTCAACAGTTTCGCGATTTTGAACTACCTCCTGGATATTCCGAATCTCCGATCAGATGCGAGGCAGCCCTGGTAGAGTTGCTCGCGTCGGCGCCTGGATACTCTGGTGAGTCTCGGGTGAGACCCTACGACAAGGAGCTCGTCTCCTGGCCGAAGCACGTGGCCCCCGTTCCCACGGCCGATCTCGTGTCCGACGCCGATCGTTCAACGTTGTCAGGGTGGAGGCAACAAATGCTACGTGATCCCGCGGAGACAGCTACTCTCAGGAAGGACTCGGGCATCGGTTCGCCATGCGTGGATCCTCGCCTTCGGTTTCGCCCTCGGGAGTATGCTGATTTTTTGCTGCGCTTGGATCAGGCTGGCATGCTAGAGTGGGAGGTCGCCGAACGTCAGGCGCCCTACTCCACAGGCTTCTTCTTCGTCGAGAAGTCCAATGGGGTCAACCTTCGCCTCGTCTTCGACACGCGGGTTGCCAACATGTCCTTCTCTGCCCCCCCTTCTACGAGATTGCCGACTCCGTCGGCATGGAGTGCACTCGAGGCTTCGGATGACTTCTACGTGGCGCAGGGTGACATCCAGTGCGCATTCTATCACATGAAGTTGCCGCCCCAGCTGCACAGATATTTCTCTCTGCCAGTGGTCCCGAATCGGTACTTGGGTTTCAAGGCGATCAATGGACTGAAGCTCCCCACGAAGGCCTTCTTACAACCGTTTGTGTCTGTGATGCCGATGGGGTGGTCGTGGGCTCTCCACTTTTGCCAGTCAGCCTTAACCACAGCCATACGCGACTCGGGGATCGACGATGATGCGATGCTGGTAGACGGTTCAGCACCTCGTCCTCTGCGAGACCATGGCGACATCATCGCAGCTGGCTACGTGGATAACTTCGCCACCGTCTCACTCAGTCCAGACGTTGCCACCGCTTCGTGCCAGGCCATTCGAGACGTGCTGGTTGCGAGGGGCTTACCTGTAGAAGAGTTCGCCCCCGCGGCGCAGCGCGTCACCTTCGCTGGCCTCGACATCCTGGGCGACGTCGGCGTCATCAGGTGCAAGGTGGACCGGTTGTCTCGGTTGCGCCAGGCCCTACTTGGGCTACTCAGACGTGGCTTCGCATCTCCGCTTGCGTTGTCCGCCGTGGTCGGGCACTGCACCTGGGGGATGATCGCCAACAGGCCCATGCTCTTCATCTTCCACGCAGTCTACCGCTTCATGGGTCAGGACTCACGGCGGGCTTTGCCGCTGTGGCCGTCAGTCGTCTCTGAGCTCCGTGCCGCTGCTTCCCTCATCCCGTTGTGGTGGGCTGATGTCAGGGCTGAGTGGGCGGCCACCACCTTTTGCAGCGACGCCTCTCCATACGGCATTGGCGCGCGTCGCAAGTTCGTGGAACAAGAGGACGTTGCTGCCGCAGGTCGACGGTCTGAGAAATGGCGCTACCGTTTCTCCGATGCCGTGCACGCCCGCGCCCACGCTCTGGGAGTCGACCCGAACGTCGTGTTGGAAGCTGCCGTGAGCAAAAGAGGCTTCAAAGACTGCGAGCAGTGCCCGGGGCCTCCCGAGGCCCAAAGCAAGCCCTCGCCCACCGCATCATCATCATCACCTCGAGGGCTCGACGAGATTTCGATGGACGGCTTCGACGAGGTTCCCGACTCGATCACGGCTTCCGACGGCTGGTCTACGATATATAGCGCACGGCATTCGAGGTTCGGTTTGGACATCATGCGATACGAGGCGGAGGCTCTCGGATTTGCGATGCGACACTCGTCTCGGTCTGGACGGCTTCGACATCATCGCATCCTGTTCACCGTCGACAATTTGGCTCTAGCCCTTGCTGCTGGCAAGGGACGTTCTGGTGCCCGAGGGCTTCGCGATCCACTACGACGCCTCTGTGCTCTGTCCGCAGCTTGCGGCATTCGCCACGCTGTGCGATGGATCCCTAGCGAGAGCAATGCCGCAGACTCGCCGTCGAGGACAGGTTTCTTTGTCGGGCCGACCTTCGAGGAGCACCAAGCGGCTGCACCCCGAGTTTCGGCGCCAGCGAGCCACGACCGTGACGGAGCAGAGGACCAAGACGCATCCAGGACCACAACGGCTCGGGCGGGGTGCGCTCTCGGTCCTCGAGTCAGCTGCCGTGTCGGACACAACCATGGCCAACTACTGGGGCGCCGCCAAGAAGTTCGAGGTGTGGTGCCGCTGGACGTCCCAGACCTTCACCACGGCGGCGGAGGTCGATGTCATCCTAGTTACCTACTTCGTGAACCTCTTTCTGGACGGCTTCGACAGTGCTACGGGCCGAGTCCTGCTCGCCTCCTTGAAGCACTACCTGCCTTCGATCCTGGTGGGCAGGACGCCGTGCCCGCGTGCAGCTCGCGCCTTGACAGGCTGGCGGAAGCTCGTGCCCCCGCAGATGCGACTACCCCTTCCACGGGCGGCGATGGCCTCCATCGTGGGCGTCCTCATCTCGTGGAAGCTCTTCGGCATGGCCGTGTTCGTCAGGCTGATGTTCGACACCTACCTGAGGCCCAGCGAGGCCTATCGGCTAACAGCGGGCAGCGTTATTCGACCAAGACCCGATGCCGCCCGCGGGTACGGACATTGGGCCCTGATCGTCAACGACGCCTGCCTCGATCGTCTTGGGAAGACAGGGGAGATGGACGAGAGCGTGATCGTCGACAACCCGACGCTCTGGCCCCTTCTCGACGCGCTGGTGCTGGGCAAGAAGACGAGCGACGGCCTCTGGACCTTCGCCCCCGACGAGGTGCGGAGCATGTTCCGTCGCGCTGCCGCTGCGCTCGGGTTGGAGGCCGAGATGACGCTCTACTCCCTTCGGCATGGGGGTGCGTCCGACGACCTCCTGTCTCTCCGACGCACCAGGAAGGAGGTCAAGGACCGCGGCCGATGGAGGACGGACCAGAGCCTCCTCCGCTATGCCAAGAGGGCTCGTATGCAGCAGCGGATCGCCTCCCTAGGCCAGAACCTGATCGACTTCGGGCACGCGGTCGACTCGCAGATGAACGATCTCATTCTGCAGACCACCTCCTCAGGCGTCTTCCCGCTGCAAGTGCCGCTTGCCGTGACGCCGACACCGCCAGCGGTCAGGCCTCCGCCCCCGCGAGTGACAGCGCGGTGGGCCTTCGCCTGACGAGGATTTGGCGTGCAGCCAGGCATGCTGCGACGCGGTCCAGGTACTCGCCCGCCCTAGTAATTGGCGGCGACGGCGGCGCGGCTTGCGCTCTGCAGCGCCTCGGTTTTGGCGTGCTGCACTTGAATGTGAGACGCCATGTTACTGATGACATCACAGATCCTTTAGTGATGAAGCGCGTGCTCGGATGGATTCGTGCAGGCTGTATCTCGTGCGTGTGGGTGGAGCCCGACACGACTACGTGGCTCCCTCAGAAGCCCGCTGTCCGTAGCAAAGCTCGAGCCAACGGCCTGCCGAGTCTGTCCAGTGCCC